AAGAGTTGGGACCTCAGAAGGCTTTTAGGACCAAATAGTAGGCTCTTGTGTCCAGGAGAAAATGAATATACTTACCAGTAATGTTAATGTTCACCCACAGCGCTTCTGGGAGGATCTAAAGTAGGGTTTTTATGGCGACCAAGTATGTAAATACTGATCTTGCGGCCAGTTCTCCACCCTCTATTGCTTCCCACCTCAAAGCCCTTAGTTCTCTTTTTTCATATAATTATTGTAAGTACAATAAAAACATACTCTATTCATGAACAAAGCTGTCACTACAGCCATTCTATCGAACTTAAAACTGTCGTTTTGGAAACGTGTTTATGTGCAACCTCTGCATGTGATGCCTTTCTTTTTTTTTTTTTTATGTGATGCCTTTCTTAGGTGGAGTCATCCCAGGATGCTGTTTAGCTCTATGAGGTTTATCAGTTCTGTTGTCTGTTCTTTTCAGTACCACTGAAGGAGAGGAAGCTCTTGGATGTAAAACTGGGGGAGCTGCCCAGCTGGATACTAATGCGGGACTTCACCCCGAGTGGAATCGCAGGAGCGTTCCAGCGAGGTCAGAACTGCAAGGGAGCCCCTAAACAAAGGCAGATCTCCAGGTCTTAAGGCCTCTTCCTGCCATGGATTACTCTGGGGAGCAAAGGCCTTGAAGATACCTCTTGCCTGCGTTCTAAGGGGCCCGAGTCAGCCTCTTAGAATTAGGGTAGGCGGTGGACTTGGGAGTGAGGTAGGATCAAAACCTCCAGACAAGGTCAGGGGGTTGGGGCCATGTCAAGGCAGGCCCTGGTCCTGTAAGGATTCAAGCCCTGCTGACAGCTTTTGTGCTATAATTTTCCAACTGTCTTAGGGGTGCTGTGGTCTCCAAACTTGGGCCCACCTTGACCTCACAGTGTGGAGCATGCATGGGGCTGACCGTCTTTTCTGTCTGCAGGCTACTACCGGTACTACAACAAGTACGTCAACGTGAAGAAGGGGGGCATCGCTGGGCTGTCCATGGTGCTGACAGCTTACGTGGTGTTCAGCTACTGCCTTTCTTACAAGGAGCTCAGTGAGTGCCCTTGGGGTCACCTTTCAGTGGAATGCCTGTGAGGGTGGGATGGTCATGTAGACTGGCCCCCACTCGCCCAACAGCTAAGGGACCAGAAGCTTGTTTCTAGATGCTTGTATTCCCACCAGAGGGGTTTCAGGGGCTGATGTGAATACATTGTAGTGTACAGGACAGTCTATTACACAGGAGATTGTTGGGGAAAGATGAGGCTGAGGAAAAAGCGGTACTTAGGAAGTGATCTGTAAAGTCCTGTGGGCTTTGTTCAAGGTGGAAGTCTTGACTCTGGTCAGCCTAGCATCCAGTGCAGAGGGAAATTGGTTTAGTGGTGGGAGTAGGGTGTAGTGCTGTACTTCTCAAGTACAGTGACTGTATAATGCTCAGGCCAAGCACAGCTGGTCCTGGCCCCTAGGGGGTTTGCTGGAAGATACAGGAGCATCAGTGGAGGCCTTTAACTAGGCTTCCAGGGTAGGTTTCTGAGTGCTTACCTGTCGGTCTAGCTGTCAGCCTGTTTCCCCCTGAAAAGAGGATGCTAGGTGAGGCTGGGTGGCTAAGCTCCTAAGGTGCCTTTTGGCTCCCCAAAGTACCCCTCAAAATGGCATTAGATGTCACCCACTAGCTGCCTACTTCTTGTGCTTGGTGCCACTTTTTCTTTTATAAAAGTAGAAATACCATCTGCCAAGCTTGTATGGTCCCTTCCCGTGTTTTCATCCTGTCTGTTCATCTGCTTGTAGATGAGTATTACTGGTTCTGTAGAATTTTGTATGTGTTGCTTAGCTTTTAAAACAACACATTCTCCTCCTCCAGAACATGAACGGTTACGGAAGTACCACTAAGAGGCGCTGTCTGCATTCCTGGCCGGGTGCCTTTGCCCTGGCGCCCTTCCCTTCTTCAACAGCCCTCTGTCTCCTAGATTGAGAACTCTGTCCAATAAAAGATGACACACTCTGTACAGCCTGGCCCACATTCCTGTACTTTGGGAGTCCTCTGACAGGCGGGCTGGCAGCCCAGGGAGCCTGGTGGTTTCCCATGTGACTGCCTGGGTCACTGGGGTGTCTTTGGAAACTGAGGAGCCACTGGGAATGAGAAGCCACCCTGTTACCATGGCCCAGGTGGTCGCCCTTACTTTGGGTCAGGAGTATTGGCAGCATCTGGAGCTATCTCCAGTCTTGACTGGAACACTGCAGTATGAACCAGAAGCCCTGTGTTCCTGGGGCCACCAGAGATGCAGACAGCTATCAGGGGAGGTGTGTGGAATGAAGTTGGGGTGTGCTAAATTTGCCAACACCCCCCCCCCAATCTTGTGCTTCACTAGGTAGGGCCTCCTCACCCTGCTAAGGAAGCTTGGACAGGAGAGGTTAACACAGGCCCGACCCCCCCTCCCCCCCAGTCCTTACTGAGTGGAGGTAGATGAGACCCTAACAGGACCTTGAAAGCCTGAGCCCCCAGACTAGATCCTGGTCCAGAAGTCCATCATTTCTTCCCTGGAGTATCCACCCTCTTCCCGAGCAGCCCCTTACAGACGAGACATGGCTTTAAAAAACAAGCTTTAATCAAGCTTACAAAAACTGTTCTCGTACTTGAACTTGGACAGGCCTACTTGCCCAGCAGGTTGCAGCTGAGATTCACATTTTCTAGGCCTGGCCAGGCACGAGGTGGCCTTCTTCACGTGCCAGCAACACACCCAACAGGGTGTGAGGCGGTGCACTGACGGGCTGGGGCGTCTGGTTAAAAGGTGGCCTTGCAGGTGTCTGCAGGGGACAAACTCCAGAGCCCTGTCTCAACAGCTGCCACCTCAGGCCACCTGGTCCTAATCACATTGACAGGCACAGCTTCTGAGTTCAGCAGGTCACAGAGGAAGGCCTGGCCTGGCCGCAGCACTAGGTCACTCCTAGCCCCTGGGTCACTGAGAACTGGTGTTTAGTAAGGCCCTGAGGGGATGGCCACCTTTCAGGTGGCACAGCACAAGCCACAGCGTCCCTCCTGAGAGGGCAGTGTGCAGGAGTCTCAGAGGCACTGGCACCTGGACATATGTGATGCCAGCCCGAGGGCCCAGTTGAGGCCTGTGTCCTTTTTTTAAAAAAGAAAGATTCTGCAAAATGATGGGAACGAATGGCCGTAGCCCCTCAGAGGACACCTGGTGGTGCCTGCCTGCAACTCTCCCAGGCCTGCACTGATGCTGGCACCGGACAGTAGACGCACGTCCCCAAGAAGGGCCCGAGGGTCATCTCCGACAACAGGCCCCTTAGGCTGCTCTGAGGTGGCTCCAGCCGCTGTCACTGTCCACTGAGAAAGGCCAGGTGGCCTTTAGTGCATCTGTTGGCGTAGTGTCCTTTCTCACCACACTGGGAACAGCAAGAAGGGGGAGGGGGGGAGAGAAAACAATACTGTTTCCACAGGCAGTCCTCACCCACGACACCCAGGGGGCCCCGATATTCTCATTGGTGTTCTTCACATGTGAGGAACAGTGGGGACACCACCACCAGGAAAGCCACAAGACAACAGGTGCTCAGGACCCTTCAGCCACTCAGTACTGCTCCCGTCCCTCAGGGCCCGAGCTCAGTAAATGGTGGGACAGAAATAGGCAGTCCTGGTCACCAGTGCCCCTTGGCCCGTCTAGCGAACCAGCTCATCTTCTGGGCAAGCTGGTCACTTACCTCTGCGGCAACATTTGGGGTTCCTTGGCAGGATGGGAGAGGGGCAACTCGAGAGGAATCACCCCAACCTCCTTCCCTAAACTGGGGAGCCAGTGCCATGCCACCAGGGTAGGCTACACACTAGCTCGTGCCCACCTGCCTGAGCTCCCAGAGACAGTCCTCAGATGCCAGGATCAGAGGGATGAAGGGACAGAGGTCAGTGAGAAGCCTGTGCCCAGTAGAATTACATAAGAATCCTTGACTCCCTGCCTTGTTCTGGGCCTCTTCTCTAGCGCCAAAGCTTCCCCAGCTTGCCCCTTAAAGGCCAGGGCCTAGGAGGGCTTCTGAGCAGGCAATGATTCCCGGGGACAGGTGAGGGTGCCAGTGATTCCACACACCGCCCAACCGCATGTGCCCTCTGGGGACTGGACATCGAGGGCCCGTCCTGGGTTTTGTCTCAGAGCCTGGGCCTGTTCCATCACTTTTATCTGACAGTCCCTAGTCTCAGATGCCTGATCTATAGCTGTTGACTTTTGGGGGGCTGACCCCAGGAGGGGCTCCAGGGCCGCTCACTGCACATGGCAGCCTGGATAGTAACAACATGAAGTGCCTACAGTATCTCTGTGAGGTGTCAGGACTGGGGGGAACAGACAGAAATCTGAGAGGCCCCTCCTCTACCAAGCGTGTATTTAGGTACCTGCCCCCACAGGTGCCTTTCAGGCACGGATGGGAATACCATCACCAGATAAGCATTCCCCAGCTCCTGAGTGTTGGAGGCAGCTCAGCAAGTGTCTGTCACACATGTGAGAAGTTCTTGAGGTGGGGGTCCCCGGAGGAATGTACATGATTAAAGGGAAATAAACCCAGAAGTCTGAGTCTTCAACACGAAAGGGGCCTGTCTCGGGATAGGGTGCGTGATAGGGCTGCACTTACTCTGACCCTAAACACATCCATTGTCTAAAGTTTTAGTGAAAAGAACAAAGCTGATGATTTCCTCAAGAGCATTTGGGGGCTCAGTTCTAGCACTGGTGCTTTCTGCTGCTGCTTGTTTCCTCGTGGCACTATGGCTGATTTAAGTTTCTGAGGAGGTGGTGTCCAGCTTGACTCTTTCCCCCTGCACGTGGGTAGTGTAGCCCAAAGCCTCCTCGTTGGCCTTGAGACTGTGCCCAGGCTGGTCCGGGGGGGTGGGGCCCGGGCCAGCCAGCCTCTGAAGACCTCCTCACACTGTTGCCTTGTCCACTCCCCCCTCAGCAGTGGGCGTACCTTACCTGTGATGCTTCATGACAAGGATTCTGGCTGCCACTTACCTTAGCGTCTCCGCAGTCACTTACCTTTACCTTACAATTGGCAACAGCTAAGGTGGTTTCATGTTTCAAAAAGAAAGTGTCTGGGGAAGGAGGCATGAGGACCCCACCCTGCCCCAGCCCCGGGACTCACCTTGTAACAGGTGACCTGCTCCAGCGGCCGGGGTCCCCGGTTGCCTGCACTGCTGTTTTGACTCTGCATGACCCCGATGACCTGCGGGGCTCTCTGCTGGTTGGGAGAAGAGTTCTGACTCGTTAACTGGATCAAGGAGGACGACCTTTGTAATGGCGGATTGTTACTTTGCTGGAAAGAGTCACACAACACGGTTTTACTGCGGAAAACGCGTGCACGCAGACTACCAACAGGGCGGGAGAAAAGAAGGCGCCTTCCCTGCCTGACCAGCAGGAAGACGGGCTTCCTCGGCGACCTCGCTCAGGAGAGCGGGCAGAGAAGCAGCATCTGGTGGTGGCAGGAGCCACTGCCCGAAAAACGCCATGCAGACACACAAAAACGGAAAAGAAAGGTGGAAAAGAAAACACCGAGACAAGAGGAGGTCTCTGGGCAGGGGCGCGGCGTGGTCAGGCCTTACTTTTGGTTCTGAGGTTCTAGCTTCGGGTCCGGATGAACGCTTGGTTCAGCCAGATGCTTAGCGGCCTACACGGCGAGCAACAGTCACAGAAAAAGAGTCGGAGCCTGACCCGCAGGCCTGGGGCTGGGGCTGAGGGCCCTCCTGGGAGCAGTACGCAGAGGCGGGCTCCTGGGCTGGGACTCACTGCTGGGCCACCTCCCAACCAAGGGGGCTGCTGGCTCTGGGCCCGCAAACACAAGGCATCCCAAGCTAGAGACCCCGAAGTACCACAGCTGCTTCCCGATAGGGTTCTATCTGATTTCCACTCCCACCTTCTCAGGATGCTTCTGCTTAGCCTCTAGCACTGGGGCAGGGCCCAGTAAACTCTGGAGGCTGGCAAGTTTTCTGGGAAGGTGGGTGGGGTTCATTAGACCCTGCCCAGCCCTTCTTGGGTCCTTAGCCCCAATTCCCAGACCAGATCCAGAGGCCCTTGGTCTCTGTTGGTCCGAGCATCTTCCTCTGATGTGCTGGTGGAGACAGGCTGCAGTTCCCAAGAAGCCCCATGCCTTGGGGTTGGTACCCTCCACCAGGAGGGATATCACCACCAGCTGAGGGTCTGCCTGCTTCCCAGAAGTAAAGGCAGGTCTGAGCCGGAGGCTTCCTGCCGGCTGCCTGTCTCACACGGATGAACTGAGACCTGCCTGTGGCCCAGCCTTCTGGATGGATGTGCCGGTCGCCTACAGGGAATGGCGTTCTAGCCGACAAGCCCCTCCACGGGCAGTTGTAAGCTGTGCTGCTCGCTTCTCTCTGCTGCCACCCTCCCCCCTCCTCATGAGGCCTGTGGCCTGGGGCTCAGGGCCTCCAGGCAGCACTGAGGGCCTGTCTACTGGCCTATAACAACATCACGGGCCCAGGGAAGGCAAGCACGGTACCTTGGTTGGGGGCTGCGTCTGCTGCGGCAGTGGGGGTTGCTCTGTGGTGCCCATTGGCAGTTCAAATCGAGGGCTGGTCGATGCACAGGCAGAGCAGAGAAGGAAGAGAAGGTGATGAGGGAGGAGAACCAGCAGTCTCCTAAAATCACACCAGTCCTGCCTCTGGGAGGCACGAGGACAGGTGCTCAGAGCGCAAAGGAGCCAGCCAACACACAGACACCCTGAGGGTGGAATCCACGCGCTCGCACCCTGGACACCTCAGTCACTGGCTGATGGGCCACCCAAACCCAAAGCTGTTTCCATGATGGGGAGGGGTGGCCACAGCAGCAGTACCATCCCTCACTGAGTCCACTGTCCCTGAAGACCAGAGGACTGTGCCAGGTGCAGGCAGCACAGGGCAAGATGCCATGAGAGTCCCAGCCCAGAAGACACCAGCCTGCAATACCCATGAGGGACAGGAAGCAAGTGGACAAGGTGATGGACTCGGGAAGGATCAGGGGCCCTGCCACCAGGTTTCAGTCACAGACCATGTCCTACCACGTGGCCCTAACCTGGTGGCCCAATTGTGTGTCCAGTGCTCTAGTGCATGAGATGGGTGTGTGTGTGTGTGTTTCTTGCTCACGCTTGTGAGTCATCCTAACCATCTCAGCAGCACGTGCAGTGTGCAAGCCAAGCACCAGGACGCCCTGACATGTTAGTTCCCGCCCGTTGACGTCCCTAAAGTCCTCTGGTCACATGGTCCTGTGAGTAGGAGCTTGCCCAGAGCTTTACTTGGTTCAAGGCAGGCAGCCTGCGGTTTGGCAGCAGCAGCATGACCTCAGGGATCAGACAGTGGCAGCTGTCCTGCCTCCTTCCACCTAGGACCCTGGGGAGACAGGTGGGCAGCAGCAGAGGGCACTGGGGGAAGTGCATGTGCACGGGCTACTCACTGCATGAATTTACATGACGGCCCCTCTGGGCAGAATCCCACGAGGTAATTCACACAGATAACTCTCCGCGTGTGCCGGTGTCTGCACAGAGGACCTGCAAAGCCATGCACCGGGTCACACAGGCTGCCCCGCATGGAGGGCACCCTGAGGCCCACTCTACTGTCAGAGCCTCTGTGTCTGCAGCCTGGGCCATGATAACAAGGGGATGGCACAAAGGCAGAGGACAGCTGCAGGGCCTCAGTAAAGGGACAGGACCCTTAATACAGGGGGCACAGCAGGCCCTCTGTAAGGTAACAGGGCCTTCAATACAGGGGACAGCAGCAGGCCCTCTGTAAGGGAACAGGGCCTTCAATACAGGGGACAGCAGCAGGCCCCCTGTAAGGGAACAGGGCCTTCAATACAGGGGACAGCAGCAGGCCCTCTGTAAGGTAACAGGGCCCTTAGTACAGGAGACAGCTGCAAGCCTTCAGTAAAAGGACAGAGTGCTCGGACTCGTAAGCAGAAGTGGGGGAAAGAACACGACCTCCAGTGCATCCTGGGTGAGAATATGCCTCTGTAGCCTGAGGATGCCCTGTACTGGGTTCTGCGGGATGCCAGTCTCTGGGTCACATGGGCAGAGGTGGGGTAGAGTCTTCCCAGGACCAGCCCGGCCAACACCTACCATGCTTGCAGAAGCCACGGTCGTACCATGGGCAGTCCTTGATCTTGGACTCGGGGTCGATGTGCAGGAAGGGGCACTCCTTGTTGCTGCACTCCCCTGCAGAAAGTCCAGAAAGCCACCCGCTAGGTGGTCTGCACAGCGCATGGCAAGCAGAGCCAGGCCACCCTGGTGTCTGAGCTCAGCTCAAGGTCTGTGCCAGGCCTGCCTTCCCAGGCAGCACTTCCCCAGGGAACACCTTGTTCCTTCCTCCCCAGCATCCCAAGGGCCCAGGGGCTGCACTGCTAGAGCTCTGATGCCTCAGACATCTGATGAACCATCTAAAACAACGCTCTGGTGCCCTACCCTTGCTGGTCCTTCATGACAACTCAGACACAGAGGTGGGTGGAACGTGAAGAACCAACTCTCAACCAACTATAGTAACTCTCTCATCCGATGAACACAGAAAATGGACAGCATGTCCTGTCATCCCCTACTGAAACACTTCGGATAATGTTCTGCTTGCCCCCTTTCTGAGCCTCACACCCTATCATCACCCCCACTCTGGCTTCTCAGCTGCTCCAACAGCAGGTACCCCTCCACCAGGAAGGTCCTGCTGTGCCCCACAACTGGCCCCTTCAGACCCACTCCAGCAGTACCTCTTCAGAGAAGCCCTCATGCTTGTCACCTCACTGCTTCTTACAAAGCCCTGGTCGGGAATGACAGGCTCCTTCATTCACACGTATCAGTTCATGAGCTGCCCCTGCTGGAGATGAGCCCAAGTTCCCGGGGCCAGGGCTGTGTGTCCTTTCCCTCACTGCAGCTCAGTGCTAAGGCCAGACCACATGGCCATGTGCTGTGCAGGGAGCTGTGGATGGGGAATCTGGGAAGGCCCAGAGTCAGTGGGGAAAGGACATCACTGGGAGATGGGAACTGTCAAGAAAAGCTGGGAGCAAAGCCCCTCCTTTGAACCCAGGGTCCCTGGCTGAGAATCTCCTAGACTCAGGGGAAGACTGATGCCAATCTCTAAGGAACAGCAGGCCTATAGGACCTTTACCTAGAGCTGACACCCTGAAAATGAAAAGCGAAAGAAAAGAGTAGCTGCTGCCCTGCAGGAAAGGATTCTGCAGATGGGGACCAGCTGCCTGTGGAGGAGCCTGTCTGGTCCAGTGCTGCTGGGTCCAGAGGTGTGCTGGAAACCGAGTGCTGTTTCCATCTGCTGCCAGCATCAGGGAGCCAGGAGGCTGAGCCTGTGCACGCTGGAATCATTTACACTTTGGCTGATCTGGTGCCCACAATGCCCCCTCAAGGCCTGGGGTCTTGGCTGTTGTCCTGAGCATGTGCTAAGCCTCTCCCCCAGGAATTACTTCAGGGCAGAGACCCTGAGGGCTTATCCCCCCTAGAAAGCATAGCAGCCCAGATGAGTCTACACTCAGCCCACTGCTCACCAGCCCCTGCTGCTTCTTGTATAGGGATCGATGGAGGTGGTCTCCTCAAGGGTGGGTGAGGTCGCCCACAGATGTGTCACGCTCCAGGACAGACCAGACTGAAGCTAGTTCTCCGAGTTATACACCAAATTGTGTCCCCCAGAATACATACAGAAACCCTAAGCCCTGGAACTGAATGGTCCTATTCAGGGCAGGGTGGGGGTGAGTGGAGTTCTATTATTAATGAGGCCACACCCAGTCCCTTCTACTGTCCATAAAAACCAGACTAGAGACACACATGGACAGAGGCCACATCAGGACTGTCTACACACAGAGACAGGCCAGCGGTCACCAGAAATCGGGAGAGGCTCACAGATGGCATCAACATGCAGAGACCCTCATGCGGACTTAAAGCTGTAACGAAACTGTGAGAAAATAAACCCTGTTCTTTAAAACCACCCTCTGGTTGTATTTCCATGAAAGCAACATCAGGTAATAAGACACCAGAATCCAATCCTAGGAAGGAGGGACCACTTGGGTTTGGGGTGGGTAGCAGAGGCAGTCAGCCCTCTCACTGGAGGAGGAGACGCTGACTGGGGAAAGGCCAAGGTGAGAAGACACCCCTCATCCACTCCACTGTTTACACCCTCATGTGCCTCTTCAGGTTCAACTTCCTAAATCAACTTCCCGCAAAGATGTACGGAATTCTGAGTGAGGACACATGCCCCCCGTTAAGTAAGGGCTGGGGGAGATGGGGTGGCCAAAGATGAGGAGGTTGGGAGGAGGCAGCTGTGAGAGCCCAGGCCTGCCTGGCATCTCTTACCAAACTTGGAGTAGAAGTAGCACTCGGGCATCTTGGTCATGTCATACTCGTGCAGGAACTCGCACTGGTCGCCCTTCTTGCAGAGTCCTCGAAGCCAGTGTTTGCACACGACTGTCTTCTCGCCGCTGATGTGGCGGAACGGGCACATGCCCCCTGCCCGGAAAGAGGTGCTGTAAGCCTGCGGGCTGCAAGCAGCCATACCTCCTGCTTCTCTGCACCACCCGGAAGCAGCGAATGGCAGAAGCGGGGCATGGGCCGCTGACTCAGGCCAAGTGACCTCGGGCCATTCTCAGACTTTCAGTCATGACTTCACAGCTGCCACTGAAAGACGGAGCCATATGAGCCCAGGGGAGAGCGCAGGAGTGACTTGACTCCCATTCAATTGAAGAGGTATGTGGACAGGACAAACACCGTCAGGCTGGTAAAAGGATTATTGAGGACAGACACTAATGGTGGCTCACTTGAATGCAATGCTCCCTACTAAAGCTCCTGATTAATATACAGCTTCTCAAATAAACTTGCCGCAGGGAGGAGAATGTCCGGACCTAGATAGGGCACGTATGGGTTAGGGGGCTTAGAGGACCACTAGGACAGCACAGCAGCCACCGGACTTGATGTGACTCATCCTATGAGAGACTGCTGTGATGAGATGTCACACGGCACAGTGGTTCTATGTAGACTGTGGTGTCAGCCACTCATGTTGGGACCCTGAGAGAGGGAATGCCTTAGAGCTGGGGGCCTATGTCCAGGGCAGGGCTGGCTTATGGCCATGGGGGACAGTAAGGTAGACAGCCTCAGAGCTGGAGACTGTGTCCAGGGAAGGGCTAACTCAGGGCCCCAGGGACAGTCCTGTGCGTGCATTCAGCACAGTGCTGGCTTAGGCCCATGTGGGAGTCTCCATTAGGGTCCTGGCCTATCCAAATGCCTTTCCATCTAAGGATCCAGCTGGTCTGCAGAAAGCAAAAGTCCCCCCATCGCTTCTTGGCCTTTTGGCTAAGATCAAGTGTAGAAAGCAAAAGTCCCCAGAGGCTCTACAGCATGAGTTTGGGAGGGGACAGGGTAGGTGGGAAGCAGGAAGGGGACAGGGCAGGTGGGAGGGAGGGTTGGGGGTAGGGAGAACTGCCTAAAGGACAATCAAGAAGCAGGGATCTTTTACCTTTGCTGCAGGCAGCTTTCAAAAAGAACTCGCAGACAGCGGCCCCCGACTCTGCAGAAGGAGAAAAAGAAGGAAAAATATCAAACAAAGTTTTGAGCAAGCTCTTGGTCATGCCCAGACAGGGCAGGAGGGATGCTCTCAAGCTTCTATCCTGTGAAGGGTTCAGGGTATAAGAGGTAAAGTCACAATAGAACACAGAGGCTGACCAAGCCAGGAAAGAGCAATAACCAAGCAAGGCGAGCCCAGCTGCTCACCTGGTACACTGCCTACTACAAGCAAGGTGTTTTCGAGGGTTATGAGTGGGTGCAGGGAGGAAGAACAAGATGAGATGTTAATTACCCCCAGCTAGTACCTTCCAGAACAATTACTTCATAGGCATGTTAATGGGAAGCAGACAAGGAGGGAGGAAGGGGCTGACAGGAAGTACAGACCAGGGAATGGGGACTGGAAGAAGGGAATGTTCCAGAAGAGGTTGGCCTCCCTCAGACAGCATTTCAGAGTAAGGGCAAGCTCTTCCCCTAGCCAGGCCTCAGTTTCCCTAGTTGTGAACGGAATTCAGTGACTTCAGGTTAGATTTCACTTATGACTAGGGAGGAGAAGAAAGCTGTCCTGTTTTCTTTGGCAGCACAAGCTTTTCCACCTTAGCTGAGGGAGGGGACGCCTGCAGAGAGACAGGAACCGCTGTCAGAGGAAGGGCAGTGTGTCTGGCCACCCGAAAGGGTCCGCATCAGAAGCCCCGGTGTACTGAAGAACCCAGCGATGAGGTCCATAGAAAATAGAAAAGTCGGGGGGCAGGCTCAGGACTAGGAGGGAACCTGGGGAGTGTCAACAGGGGGGCAGCTGGAGACAGGCTGGGAGGTGGAAAGGAGGCATTTCAAGGCCCCCGTGTTTTGATGACCTCAAACTGGCGCTCAACGGGACGTGATGGGAGTCTTCCGGAAAAAAGGGGGTGGGGTTGAGTGTCTCCAAGTAGTTTCCTGAGTTAAGAGGTAGCTTTGGGGGCATTTCCGAGCCAAGGGATCCTGCTTTCATTGAAGGGTTAAGTGCACAGAGCCCCGGTCCTCGGGAAGTTTTTAAGACAGTCCCAGACGACTTAAGATCGGAAGGAGGGAAGATCCCGGGTCCAAGTGGGAGAGAGGAGGGTCGCAGAAGCAGGAGGAACGGATCGTGGGACAGCAGGAAGGCCTCGGGCTCAGGGAGAAGGGGGTCCTGTAAGCGAGGGAGGAAGGGACCCTCGAGACCGAGGTGCACGGGGTCCCGGGACCAGAGTGAGTGGAACAAGGAGCAGGCTACCCCAGGGTCAAGAGGAGTCCGTAGACAAAGAGGGAGGAGCCTGGGAGTCCCAGTGGAGGGGTCCTGGTCCGAGTCGGTCCCGCCCGTCTGCCCCGGCCCCGCGCTCACTGTCCATGCCGGGGAAAGGCAGCGGCTGCGCCCCAAGCTGCTGCTCGACCGCGATCTCCAAGTCGAACTTGATGTGGTCCACGCTGGCGATGATTTCCTGCATGGTGGCGGCGGCCTGCCGGCCCGGCTCTCACTCAACGCTCCGGCCGCTCACACCCCTACCCGCCGCGGACTCCGCCGCACTCACCCGGCCGCCGCCACCGCCACCGCGACAGCCGCTGCCACCGCCACCGCCCGGGGCATGCCGGGAACGCGAAGCGCGCGCGAGCTCTTCGCATGTTCAGACCGGGCCAATCGAGCGCAGAATACCAGTCGCCCTGCCAGGCGTCGCTAGGCGCCGGCCGATCTCCAGCTTCTCCTCGCGGCCGCGGAGGCTGTGCTGTCCCGCGCGGGGTTCGGGACGCGGAGTGCGCCTGCGTGGGACCCGCGGGAGCCAGGTAAGCGGCGGACGGACGGAGAGGGACTCGGGCCGAGGAGGGGAGTCGCGGGGACTGAGGCTGGGCGTGGCGAGGCAGGGAGGGGTCGGGGAAGGGGCAAGGCCGAGGAGGGACGCTGGACACTGGACAGCTGATGAGGATACCCTAAAGGCCTGTGTGGTTGGCCCTAGGGTCCGATGAGTGTGCACAGTCAGGAAGTCCTCCCGAGGGGTGACAGCCTCTCCTTGTCCTGAAGACAGACATTAACCCGGGGTCGCTGAACTTGTCGGAAGAAAGTTACTGCATTAATTTCTCTGTGCGAAGTTTAGCATTTCTCGACAGAGGCGACAAAACACGCGGCGTTTTGTGCCCGAGATTTTTGTCAAAAACCCGTGGTGAGTGTAAACGATCACTGGAATTTGTTACCGCCACATGATGACAATCTTGAGCTAAAAAAAAAAACAAAACATGTTTTTAGGGGTGGACAGGGAGAAAATTGAGACAATGAATGAATGGAAATCCAAAACCTCTGTAAAAAAATAAAAATAAAAATAACTAAATAAGAGGGGGGGAACCAAACTAAGAAAAAAAAAAATAACATGTTTTCTAATTAAGGTAGGATCTTGGTATTTGATGCGTTGAAAAGAAGAAAGATGGGCCATCTCCTCCTGTATAGTTTACCGTCATTGCAACTTGTATAACAGCCTGCAGGCAGGCATGATCTGGCTTGGATCAGCCATGGTAATTTAAACTGCCTCAGGTGCTCTAGTGGAAGCTGTGCTGCAGTCCCAAAGGCACATGGTTCAAATCCACCAGCAGCTCCCAGGAGACTAATGGATTATCTCCTCCCAATGGGATTCATTCACTGCCTCTGAAAAGCTGTTGGAGGGTCAGGTGTGGGTTGATTCCAACTCAGTGACACCCAACAACAACAACTACGCGTATCCATGAAAGTTTGGTGAAGAGTAAGGAAAACTGAAAAATCGGTGCCTTTAAATTGTGTTAATGAAGACTTCTGAAAAGACCATTGACTGTAGAAAGAACAAATAGATGTTTCCTCCAAGTGCAGCCAGAATGCTCTTTAGAAGCAAGGATTGTGGGACTTCATACTTTGAACACGTTATCAGGAGGAAACGTGGTTGGGGAAAGTAGTGAAAAGCAGGAAGGACCCTCAGCGGGCAGGGGGCTCGAGCACAGTAAAGCCTGTGAAGATGTTGTAGGGTACGACGGGGGGTTCCATCAGGGTCCATCTCTTGGGTCCTTGATCAGAGTGTTCAGTAACGGGACTTGGGCACCATGCCGTTCTGCTCCCTGCGTGACAAGATTCATGGGCACAAACAGACCTGCAGTCTGTTTCTTGGCTCTCCTCCTTTGTCTGGTATTTCAGATGAGTAGAGACCAGTTCTATCTTGGATGTAACTCCAAGTACTACTTGTTGGACTTGTTACTGTTGTTCGGCATGTCCAGTTGACTCTGACTCACGGTGAGCCCATGACCCACAGATCTGAACCTTCCCCTACACGGGATTGTCTTCATGATCTCTTGATAGGCGTGAATCCCTAGTTACAGTCACTGTGTCGGTCTGCTTTGTTGGAGATCTTTTTTTCCTCTGATCCCTCCGTCTTTCCCAGAATGTCTTTTTCTAAGGACTGGTGTCTTCTGACAACATGTCCAAAATATGTGAGATAAATTTTCACCATTTAAGGTGAGTATCTACATTGCACTTCTTCTGAGACAGACTATGAGGTAAAGAGACTTTTAAACCAGTATTAGACAGTTTACTGGACAAACTCATTCTCAAAACCCTAACACTGGGGAGCTCTGGTGGCCTAGTGGCAAGGAGCTGCAACTACAATCCCAGAGGCGCACGGTTCGAATCCACCAGATGCTCTGCCGGGAAAGGAGGGACAATCTCCTCCTGTACCAGTCAGATCTGATTTGACGGTACACGCACACAAAAACAAAAAACCCAACAAAAACCTTAACACTAAACTTTAAGAAAGGTTGTTAAAGGAGATGGGTCAGACGTTCTACCTCGGCACTGATTGATAAAATGATTGTTGTTACTGTGTACCATCAAGTCAGAACCAACCCATAGCCGACCCTCTAGCGGGTTTTTGGAGGCAGGAAATTGCACAGGAGGAGATTGCTCATCCTTTACCCTTGGAGCAGCTGGTGGATTTGAACCATGTGCCTTTGAGATTGCAGCCCAGTCTCTTGTCACTAGGCTACCAGAGCTCCCTGATAAAATGATAATATTAAAAATAATTATAATATTAGCACTTAAGTAATTTAAAGTTTTCAAGTAATCATGTTAAGAAGTATATTTTTTTAAAAAAAGGAATCTGAGGATAGAGTTAGTAATGCTTTTGTTTTTGTTATATGCTGTCAAGTTGCCTGCAACTCATAGTGACCCTGTGTACAACAGCTCTGAAGCCTGCTCTGTCCTGAGCCAGTCTCACTGACTCCAACACACAGATACTGTGTCAATACATCTCATTCAGGATCTTCCTCTCCTGCGCTGTCCCTCAACTCTTCCAAACATGATGTCCTTCTCCAAGAACCGGTCCCTCCTGACCACGTGCCCAAAGTATGTGAGACAAAGCTTCAAAAT